AAGAGCGTGTTTAGCGCTGACACTGTTTAAACAGCTCAAGTGACAGTACAAGATGCTTGCGATGGAGTGCAAGTGCTGGACTGAGGATGTATCAAAGTTGCACCACAGTTATGCAACAAAAGTCTGCCTTGAGTCCAGGAGGAAATTACTGGATATGCAGCAGTATAATCTATTGGTCCTACATCCAAGTTCTCCAAGTGCTTTGACTAATTGAGATTCTGTCCTTATGTTTCTAGAAAAATTATTTATAGTCAATACATTCACAGCATTGGTAAGATACAAAACATTTCTAATTATATCTCCTTAAATCAAATGACAATTATGCCCTTAGTTCAGTTTGCCAGACAATGCCTTGCCAAAGAATGTTTGCCAAAAAATGTTTTGACCGAAGAAAGAGGAAGAATGCAGAGCATCTGCCAACCAGACTCTATAAAAGTGTCTTTGCAGTGCTCTGCCCTGTCTCCTAGAACAGTTTCAAGGTAAGTGCACTGTGTCTAGTGATTTGCTGAAATTAGGTATCCCCCATTATTGCATATTATGCAATATATTTTTCCTTTTGAAACTGGTCTTGAACTTTTTCCATCTGCCTTCAAGGCAGTCGTATATTTTCTATCTATACTCTTTTTTTATTTTATTTCATATTAGGATAACAACGTTCCTTTAATGTATTTCCTATTCTCAAATATGATGGTACAACCCATAAAGCCAAAGTACAATCTACACAGTGTCATAAGAAACAAATAACAGGAATTTTTTAAAGGTTATTCTATATTAATCAAAGATGAAACAATATTTTTCTCTTCTGGGTTTAAATCATTAAGTACAAGGAAGGCAAATTTTGCCAGTTTTAGCAATACTAGTATGTGCTACATTTGAAAGCATTGGAAAAGTTGTCCTTGCAAGCAAGATACGTTAATGATGTGTGGATGCTACATTTGTTTTGTCCCTCAGGGTTCTCTGCTGACGTGCCTTCAGTAAAGTGCAGACATGACGTCTGCAGATGCTGAGTTGGCCATCTTTGGGGAGGCAGCTCCTTACCTCCGGAAGTCAGAGAAGGAGAGAATCGAGGCCCAGAACAAGCCTTTTGATGCCAAGACATCCGTCTTTGTGGTTCATCCTAAAGAATCCTTTGTGAAAGGGAAAATTGAGAGTAAGGATGCAGGCAAGGTCACTGTCAAGACTGAAGGGGGAGAGGTGAGCGAATACAAGATTTACAAATAAAATGTCATTCCCACTTTGGGTTCTTAGATGACATACATGAACCTCTCTATTCTTTGGCAGACCCTGACTGTGAAGGAAGATCAAGTCTTCGCCATGAACCCTCCCAAGTACGACAAAATCGAGGACATGGCCATGATGACCCACCTCCACGAACCCGCTGTGCTGTACAACCTCAAAGAGCGTTACGCAGCCTGGATGATCTACGTAAGTGGCAGCAGCAGCTTCCTTTGGGCAGCTGGAGGAACTGCTCTGCCAGGCCCAGGGGAAGCCAACGTGCTGTGTCCCTTCCTCGCAGACCTACTCGGGTCTCTTCTGCGTCACTGTCAACCCCTACAAGTGGCTGCCCGTGTACAACCCAGAGGTGGTGTTGGCCTACCGAGGCAAGAAGCGCCAGGAGGCCCCTCCACACATCTTCTCCATCTCTGACAATGCCTATCAGTTCATGCTGACTGGTGAGTAGCTCTCAGGGTGATTTCATCAAAAAGACACTTCAAAAGTGTTCACAGACTTTGCCTGATAAGGTCAGTTGCTAATACAGCTCTCATTTTGCCTCTTCCCCAGATCGGGAGAA